AAAAACAATAAAAAACATTCCCTAAAAACAATAAAAAACATTCCCTAAAAACAATTAAAAAAACATTTTTTTGAAAACAATAAATAAAATATCCTTTAAAAAACATTAAAAGCATAAAGAAAAAAAACCCCAGTCACTTACCAGCAGGCAGAATCAGCTGCTCTTCGATGTGATGGATGCAGGCAGCAGGTAGGCAACCAGGCAGGTAAGCTGGACTGGGGGGACATAGAGACAACCCAGTCAGCTAGGCCCATCTGGCATGGAGCCGAGGTGGCTTAGCCAGCCAGGCGAGGGTGGGGACTGGGTGGGGTCCAGGTGGGGCTAGGTCCAGCCAGTCAGGCAAGGCTGGGTGGATGGGGCAAGTGAGCAGGGGGGGCAGGCCAGAGGAGGGACTGTACTGGTATGGGACATCCGGAGGCCCTGGCATGCAAACAGATGCTAAATTATCGCTACTGGTATGTGCGTACTGGACCGGACTGGTCGAAATCCACCTCTGGTATCTGGCCAGTAAATGCTCAGCTCCATCCAGTCTGCCTGACTCTGCCCTGAATTAAGGGATTGCAGAGTTGTAAGAAAAATTAGAGAAAACCAACTTCAATTTTGTCTCTGTCTTTACATCAGTATGCTGGAACAAATGGAAACAGGAGAAATAGATCAATATGGATGCAATAAAAGAACTATCTAATTTGAATGCTTCAGATCCCTAGATCCTGATGAAATATACCATAGAACACTGAAGGAACTGGCTAAGGAGCTATCTGGATTTCTGTCAATTATCTTTAAGGTCCCCTGGAGAACTAGGAAGAAACTACAGGATTCAAGAACAATGGTGGTCTCTCTCTTCAAGAATATAAAAAGAGGATCCCATTGCTTGTTGACCAGTAAGCCTAACTTCAATCTCTAGAAAGATGTTAAAGTAGGAAATAAAACAAGCCACAATGTTTACATTATTAGTTTATATTATGGTGAAGAACTATTTTCTATGGTCATAGAAATTAGAAATAATGAGAATAAATTGCTGCTACCTAGGCTTGATTTAAATATTTTCCAAAATTCTAACAGATAAGTTCTGTACAAAGATAGAACTTTAAGATTTTGAGTTTTGTTTTTAACTTGTGGAAGTTTTGCTATCTGTCATGGATAATTTCACTTGTTTAATTGGTTCTCCTACACACCGCTGGGAGTTGGACTAGATGGTTGTTGAGATCCTTTTCAACTCACTATGTTTTTATGTACAGATAGACATTTTTCAAGTAACTGAGCATATGTGTGGTTCGGCACTAGTTGAGAGTCAGTTGAGTTGAGTTGAGTTGAGTTTATTATATTTCTATGCCGCCCTATTCCCCGGAGGGGATTCAGGGCAGCTCACAACCAAGTCAAGGGGGGGGAGTACAAATAAGAAAAAAGAACACGAACAAAACAATACCACAATTTAAAACACTCAACAACCATACCATTCGAGGGGGGACAAAAAACTCATTAGCCCCAGGCCTGTCGGAACAGCCAGGTTTTAAGGGCTTTGCAACAGGCCTGGAGGGTGGTGAGGGTCCGAATCTCCACGGGGAGCTCGTTCCAAAGGGCCGGAGCAGCCACAGAGAAGGCCCTCCTTCGGGTG